GGGAGAAGTTGAAGAAATCCCCCCTACCCAGAGAGAGGGTTTCTCTGTATAGCTGTAGTTGTCCTGGAACTCGCTCTGTACACCAGGCTGGCCTCAAACTCACAGAGATCCACCTGCCTCTGCTTTCCAAATGCTGGATTAAAGACGTGAGCCACTACCACTTGCTGATCTCTTTTTTAATTAAAAAAAAGTTTTTAAATCAACAATGCATACTTAAGAGAGCTTAAGAATATTACAAATATATGTTCAATCATAAAAAATAGCAACAAAGGTCATATATTCCTTTTAAAACAATACTGAAAAGCCAAGAAACAAATGTGAAAAGAAATCTCTAAAATTCTCAGTGCATACAGGGAAAAAAAAATATATTCCTGAGGGATGGCTTTTATTTAGTTAACATAAACCTGGAATGGATTTTTATCTATTAAAAAAATACAGTACTGGATGCATGACAGGGTACATTATACTCACGTTAGCAGATCTTAACTATGTGGAACCAAGCACACTAAAATAACTTTCTATATTAAAAATGATTTATTTACACAGCTAAGATGCCATCACATATGCAAAAGATGCTACTTCAAAAATTGTTAACGTCAGTCTCCTTACACCCATGTTTTTTGAATTATTAATTGGAAATTCTACATGCCAAAAATATGAAATGGTGAAATTAAATTAATACAGACTGATGACATAAGCCCTCTTTAGAAAGCCACATTCCACATGTGGATGCTGGATAATCTTCCATTATCTGAAGCTCCAGAATCAATAGACAGTGTCTCAGAAGATAGGTATTCACAACCTATAATAAAATGTTCTTATTGAGCCTTTCTTTACCAAGCACATAGATATACCAAAAATTATAAAGATCCGACCTCTTACTTTACTCAGTTATGTCTATTTTTGTGGTGCTAGGTAGGGACTGAACCCAAGGCCTTTTGCATGTGCCTATATTTAATATTCTGTAATGCAAGGCAGATAAACATTCACATCCGTGTGTATGCATTTGTGTGCACAGTGAGTTGAAGAAGCAACTAAACAGTTATGTTCTGTGGCAGCCAAGGTGCTCATGGGAGGAGGAAGAGTGGTTTAAAGGCTTAAAACCAACATTCTTTATTTCCACATCCATTTAGGAAGGGTAAGGAAAACCAGACCATCCTCTCACTTAGAAAAGCTGCTGGGACAATGTCGAAGTTTGGAAACTATTAACTATGACCTGCAGACAGGGGAATGGAGTTCAAAGCAGGGCCACTATAGTAGTCACTCTTGAGAAGGGAGGAAGGTCTGAGCGAGTCACAGCTGAGGGTGACCTGCCCCGGGTGAGTGCTCTAACCCACTGCACTTAGCACAGCAACTACTCAAGTGCAAACTTTCTGAAATGCTGTTGCTGAAACCAAGTGTAGGCGACTGATGGTGAGTTGGCCACAGACAAGTGTCATGCAGAACTGTTCGGATCCTGCTGACAGAAATCACTGAGACCCTTTACAAAGTCAGGCTCATGGTAGGCTCTTGCTCCTTTTTTTTCAACTTAACCCTCTTTAACCCAGAGATCTGTTTTCTCTTGTCATTTCAGTGACATTCTAGGCATACTGGCAGTTTCCCTGAGCACTGAAGGAAGAACTGTGGTTGCAGATTCAATTGTTTTCAAAAATGGGAAGGCTGGATTGAGCAAAATGCGCTAGCTTTTCCAGGCAGACAGCCCTTTGCTCATCCCTGCAGTTTTTCTGGCTTTTAAAATATTTTGTTTACAGTTTGGTTATTCCTGACATTGAAATGAATGAGCTATTAACATTTGAAACCAAGTGGTAACTCACAGGGCAGCCTTGCTTGCTCTCCACCGCTACCCTTCCTGCTACAAAACTGAAAAACTTACCCTAGGGCAGAGTCTGTACTCAGTTTCTTATTGCAAAAACACATGCCACTCTGCCCAACAAAAGGGATAAATCAGCTTAGTCCCCTGAGTCATAACTAATTTTTAAAAGTGTTACAGCAACTTCGGATCTTGAGGCTCAACAAATGCAGTGGCTGGCTCAGACTCAAACAAGCCGAATGTGCCTGATTTACAGTGCAAGTCTTAATGCTTGAAGAGTGTGTTTGACTCGGTTTCAAAACTGGCAGCCTGACAGCCTCATTCATCCTGATGACCAGTAAGAGGACTCCACACTCGAGTGTGGTCAAGCAGGAAAATGGCAGAAAAACACAGAAATCCACCAAGATTCCACTTCCATTTTTATTTTGGAAGCTATGTTTGCCAAGCAGACACTGAGGAGGCTTAGAAGTGCTAGGACTTTTCAACATTACAGAATGAACTGCTGGCAGCTGTAGCTCCATTCTCTACATTCCCGGGACATTTTGCATATTCCCTCCAAACTGAACTTGGAAAAAGCTAGGTGCCCAGTGAGCTCCAGGGTCCTGCCAGTCTCTGCCTCCTTAGGCCTGATATTACAGGCACGTGTTGCCATGCTTGGGTTTTCACATAGGTTCTGAGGATCCAAACTCAGATCTTCATGCTAGTGTGACAAGCACCCTCTCATATTCTAAAATAGTTTCTACTTTCCTATCACCATGGTGAAATCAGACAACATGGCTTGTGCTTGTCACACATCTTCACCCTTTTGAACCTCATAATTTGGGGATTCCTCACTAAGGAGAATTCAGGAAATTTCATATTAATTGGAAAATCCCTCAACCATTTACCTACTGGTGGTTTCAACTGTTTTATTCAAAAAGTTTCATTTAGGAACACATGACTAGAACTTAGAACATATCTAAGAAAGAGATGACTTCTAGTTTGCCACCAAAAAAGGAAAAAAAAAAAAAAAGACATGATTAAATTACTCCAAAGACAATATTTCTGTGATTTATTTTTAAAAATAAAATCTTATATTAGTATGCAGCCTTGGGTTTCTCGAAAAGGGGAGAAAAAAAAAAGGAAGAAGAAGAAACTCCAATGAACAAAGTCCCCTAAAGGTTAGGATAAATTATCAAATACCATTGTCTTAGCAAAGCACAGTAACACCGCTAGACATCCTGGACTTTCAAGCACAATTAGCAGAAAATGGGCGTAACCCAGGCCAGCATCATCTGGCCCTGGGACTGCCACCATCCTAACAAAAACAACAGCCACCATTTTCTATTTGGCTGAAACTTTGCAAATGCAGTTCCACTGGATTCTTACAACAGCTAATAAAGTAAGTGCTGTCATTACCCATTGTACAGATGAGAAAACAGAGCTATAGCTATGCACCACAGAAAGCCTTGTGGCTGCAGTCTGCAGAACCCAGACTCACTGCTGCCCCTGCTACAGATGCTGTAGACCCATTTCCTGTAGCCAGATGATTAGGAGGGAATCCACATGCTGCATCAGAGAAGTTTTTGTTACGAAATAAGATCCAGGCCCACCTAAACAGAATACATACTCCATCTCAACGAAAGGAAATGTGTTTTCATGATTGCAGACTCAGTGAGCAATTTACTTCTCTTCATATTTCAAATGCTATTGATACGATAGAAAATATTAAAGAAAAAGAATAAGCCAATGCACGACAAAGGGTAAAATTGCATTGGATGGAAATGAGCCACGAAGAAAACAGTAGTATGGTTTCAACTAAGACAGGCACAACTGAGGTCGGCTGTTACAGAGAAGTTCTTCCTAATGAGAAAAAGCACAACAGAATGCAAATGTTTGAACAAACAAGTTAACAACAAAACCCATCTTGGGCACACGCACCCAGGCCTTAAACACAACAATGTATGTACTACTCCATGGCTATAGCCAAACTTTACAGCAAGTGTGGGACCCATGGCTGCTCCTCATTCTCACCCCACCCTGAAGAGCCATTAGGGAGCCCTGTAGGGGCCATTGCTGAAAGAGTGCTGTTACCTTAATCCTATACTTATAATTATGAGGACACTAAAGAAGATAAGATCAAGACAATATGAAGCTCAAAGAACAAATGTGGCAGGAAACAGTCAAAATGAACAGATCGTTACCACCCTCCCTGTACTCTCAGTATGTACATGAGTGGAAAAACTGAGTGAATCCACAAAACTGTTTGCACCTAACACTAAAAAATATTTCCTACTTTTTAGTATAGATTTGCCACCGCTAGAAAATTCTACAGACTATAGCCTGGACTTAAGAACCACTCATAGTCATAGAGACTGATGTATGAAATCAAAGAACCAAGGAAGGCTACGAGCAAACAGTCGAAGCACTGCTCACCCAGGGACTACAGCACTTACAGGTCTAGACAATCAATTGAACTTGAGTGTGCATTAGAAAGACAGACTTCCAGAAAAATCAGGCTTCCAAAACTCCTAAATTTATATTTATTAGATTATCATGTATTCCAAATATTGGACCGAAATATGAAGAAAGAAATGTTTCAGAGTGCTCTGGTGACCAGTCCTTCCTTCCTTTCTTCTTTCGTCCTCCCTCTCCCCTCTCTTCTGGGGGGGGGGACTATGAGTTCAGGGACCCAGGCATACTTATATGCACACTCATGTATCAAGCCAACACTGAACTACATTTCCCATGCTCTATTGTATTTTTTTAAGGTGAAGTTTCAATAGCGCCCCTCATAATTATCAAATTCTTTATGAAAATGTGCTTTCCAAGAAATGGGAAACATAGCCACCAAAGCCTAGGCTCTGCTAGGATTCAGATTCGCATAAGTCAATCATTAAAAGAAACTGATGAAACAATCTGAAGGGGGTTTGGGACACTTAAATGGGATATTTGGTAAGAGTTAACAATGTTCTATTTAACAACAAACAACACAGCTGTGGTAGAGCTTAGTTTTAGAATTACCAACTCAAAGGTGTGCTGATAAAATGTACTAACTGGATTGACACTAAAATACTATGAGGGTGGTAGTAACACGGAAGAAATCTGGTTGCATGTACATGTGTGAGCATGCTAACTTCTCCATACACAGCTGAAATTCACACAATAAAAAAATGCTAAAATATGCAAATCAGAGGTCGCTCACTCTTACCTTTGCTAGAATCTTTTACTACAATGTCAGAGATTTCAAACAGTTTGAGAGGAAGTGGCATCTTTCGGTTTGCCGCAATGGTCTTTAGAAGGCCAGGAAGAAGGGTAGTGCGCGCCACCTACAGGAAAAGATGGGAATTTGCACTGACTTGAGAAAACCCAACAAACTCACTGTTAATGGAGACAGAGCAGGCCAACTCCCTGGCATCACAGGAAAACATTTTTGGATAGGGAAATGACCTAAATGCCTGAGTCATTTTAAGTTCTTAAATTCAATTCACTGAGAGAACTGAAAATATTCTCCATTACAAATTAGCAAAATAAACACCAATAAATCTGATTAAAATCTCATACAAGGATATCTGTTCAACCATGTTCATAGCAGCATTATTTGTAATAGCCAGAAACTGGAAGCAGCCTAGATGCCCCTCAACCGAAGAATGGATAGAGAAAATGTGGTACATTTACACAATGGAGTACTACTCAGCAGAAAAAAACAATGGAATCTTGAAATTTGCAGGAAAATGGATGGAACTCGAAGAAACCATTCTGAGCGAGGTAACCCAATCACAAAAAGACAAACATGATAGGTACTCACTCAGATGTGGATTTTAGACATAGAGTAAGGGATTACAATCAGACAATCCATACTGCCAGAGATACTAGTAAACAAAGAAGATCCTAAAAGAGACAAACTTTGTTCCCTGGAGAAGGGGAAGATGTGGATTTTAGACATAGAGTAAGGGATTACCATCAGTTATTCCATACTGCCAGAGATACTAGTAAACAAAGAAGATCCTAAAAGAGACAAACTTTGTCCCCTGGAGAAGGGGAAAGGGTCACCATCCCCTGAGCAAATTGAGAACATGGGAAGAGGGGGGAGGAAGCTACAAGAGTGAGAAGGGAAGAAAAGGAAGGATGCAGAGGTCATGAGGAAGCAGAAATTTTGAGTCAGGTGTAGATTAGAAGAAAGGACATATGACAGGATTTTAGTTGGGGGGATGGTAGAGGAGGACGGGAGGAACAAGGGAACTGGGATCGTCATGTAATTCAAATATATAAAATAAATAAATAAATAAAAATCTGATTAAAATCAAAGTCAGAAGCAAACATAACTCAATGATTATTATTACCTAAGGATTGGTTATTTCATTATAATTTCTAAAACTAAAATGGGCTTCCAAGGTTGTACATATGGAAACTTTTATATCCTGTCTCCTTCCACAAAGTAATTGAAGTAGCCCAGGCTGGACTCCCAAGTGCTCACATTCAATCTGTACTTGGTTCTTACGTGATTTGAGCTAGCTGGCTCAATCATTCTTACTCAATCTTCTACTTCAAAACTGACCTTTATTATTCTCAGCTTTCCCATCAATTTATAGTAATTGTAAAATAAACAAACAAATGTAGTTTTCTGATCCTGGCACGGTTGTGAGGTTTATAATCCCAGTGCTTGGCAGGCTAGATAGTTGGAATTGTGAGTCCAAGGCTAGCTTGGGCAACATCGTTTGAAGCCAGTGTTAGCTGCTTAACAAGACCTTGTGTCTCCAGCCTGCCACAGAGGAGTTCCCTCCTTTCTACATCTTACCACCTCAACTAACTCCATTTAAAGATAACTTTTCTCTAACTAGATGTGCTGGTTTGTGTCTGTAATCTCAACACCTAGAGGTTGAAACATGAGGATTAGGAGGTTTCAAGGTCATCTTCAGCTCTGTAAGAGCTCAAGGCCTCCGTGAGCTAAATGAGTGACTCAGGGTTTCTGATAAACACATAAACAAAAATGACTTGGAGAGGAAAGGGTTTATTTCTTTTTACACTTCCAGTTAACAGTCCAATGCTGAGGGAAGTCAGGGCAAGAACTCAAGCAGGACAGGATCCTGGAGATAGGAAGTGAAGCAGAGGCCACGAAAGGGTGGTGCTTAATGGCTTGTTCCTCATGGCTTGCCCGACGTACCTTCCGATATACCTAGAACCACCAGCCCAGGGCAACACCACCCACAGTGAACTGGACCCTTCCCCATCAATCACCAATCAAGAAAAAGCATCACAGGCTTTCCCACAGGCCAATCTGCTGGGGACATTTTCTCCATTGAAGATCCAGCTTTTAAAATGACCCTAAATTGTGTCAAGTTGACATAAAATCATCCAGCACAAATGAGGTTGTATAAAAACCCCTAATTTTTTTTTTTAAGTTTGCCATCCTCCTTGGTAGAGTGGTAATATCCCCACTTATTAATATTTTTTTGTTGTTAAAAACCATCAGCAACATAAAAATCTAAAACCTGAATTTGGTCAAACTTCTAGATCTAACTACTAATTGATGAGAAACTTAGGAGACCACCAGAATATATTCAGTAAAATTCTAAGTGTGGAAATCTTACAGAACAAAGGACCCATATTTTTTAACAAAGTGACAGGATGTGTATGTGAAGGACTAAGGGATGTGGAGTAAGTACTAATCAGTCAACTTTAATACATAACCTTAAGTGAATCCCAACTAAAAAGAAAAACAATCAATACAGCTAGGAAAACTTACAGTGATAGCCACTTGAAGGCTTAAATTAATATTACTGCTAACCTGGGGACAAGTGAGGATATTCAGTAATCTTATTTTTAATAACTTCAATAAACTTACACATTTTACCTAAATGTTTTCCTTCTCCTGCCCATTCTATAACAACTTCACTGTTAGAGAGGAACCCAAAGTTAAGAATTACACAGGGAAAGAACAGTCTCATAACCAAATCATAAGCTACTCACTTTCCATTCGATTTAATTTAACTATAAGCAAGTACAAACTGTTCACTGCATTAGTAATGGCAGAGTGGCGGGGTAAAGCAGGGGTAATGCAAAAGCTGCCAAGTTTAAAGGATGCTCTCTGTCATCTCCAATGCATTATGCAGCAATACTGACTCTTGAGTGCACTAAGCCACAGCTATTTAAGGCAGCAGCTAATGCATCTCTGATCTGCTTTCCCTCCATTAGATAAAGCAGGGCAGACAGGACACAAACTCTGAAGAATGTAAGTTACAGAAATCTTGGGAAATACAAAATTTGTGTCACACTTGATAAATGAAACTGGGGGAGGGGAATACATGTAGCATAAAGAAGTAAAAGATTCAATGAAAATGTGCTGAGCGAATATTAGTATACCTCATTTGCCACAGTAGGTGGTTCTATAGATAAAATTCAGAATTTTTAAGTGTAAACATTTCTAGAGCCTATAGAATGTCTAACCCAGGAAACCCAAAGTCAAGAGAACTATCACAGATCACAGCTGAGGCTACACCAGTGTCAGTTTCCTAAACGCAAATCCTTTATCTCTAAGATTCTGCACACACAGGACTGCATATGCATGAAAGCAAGAGTCCAGACATGTGTGAAGATGCTGTTGAGAGTCACTCATTAGCAAAGATGTTATAACTGGAAATGCACTTCTATAGCTAACATCCAAATCAGTACTAGGAATCATTTAACACTGACTGCCATTACAATAGCATTCTCATGTACCTCTTCCTAACCTCTGTAAGAAACTGCTAATAAACTCAGATGACAATGAAAGACACAGAAAGCACAGTCAATGCTGTGGGATATTTGTACACGGGGAAGATGTAATGCTGTGACTGGTGTAATAAAAGCCAAATGGCCAGCAGCTAGGTGGGACTTCCAGGCAGAGAGGAACACAGGGAGGAAGGAAAGCGACTTGGAGGAAGCAGGCTGGGCAGCACAGAGTAGAGGTAACGGAGTCACATAAAAAAACGTAGATTAAAAGATATGGGCTAATTAAGAACTAGTTAGAAACAAGCCTAAGCTAAGGCTGAGCTTTCATAATCAATAATAAGTCTCCATGTCCTTATTTGTGAGCTGGCACTATCACCACCCGCCCCCCAAAAAAACAAACAACAAAAATCCACCTACGGTCAAAAACTGGTATAATGCTTATGGAGATTCAAGGAATACATTTGGTCCATTTACTACAAATGAATGTGAAGAAGAAACTGAGAACAGTAAGTAAACATCAGTTATCAAGTGGAAAATGCAGGTAAAAGTGGCTGAGTCTGCTACTCAAAGCATTTAAGAACTAAGAACAGGCTGAATAGGAGCACTTGAGGGTCCAGTCTGGGCTACGCAATGAGTTCCAGGGCAGCCTGGTATACAGTGTAAGATACCATCTCAAAGACAGGAATAATAATAATAATTAATATTATATATATTTTTAAACAAGCCAACTTCTACCAAGCACAAGGCTCTGGGTTCAATAATAATACTTACACAGGGAAAGGAGAGACAGAGGGGCAGAGTGGGAGAGAGATGGGGGGAGCTGACCAACTGCAAATTATCTAAAGAAAGTTCATTAAAATGTCCTAAAGCTTCACCCTGATGCACAATAACTGAAGAGAGCTTTCCTACATCATTTACCACAAACTCAACTTTTACCCCAATTCTTACCTACTTAAAATCTTACCTGGAACTCAGCAGTTTTGGGATTACTTATGTGAACTGCCTTTGTTTCAGAGATATCCAAGCCAAGTTTATCAGCAATATCTTCTTGGGAGCACTTAAGAACATGTAAAATAGATTAGTACAGGGCTATGCCTAACTCAAAATTTAAAAGTATTCAATGCTATCATTCAATTTACAGTGGTTTCTTAGCAATGTGCATGCTCTATATAAATCATTATATAGATTATTAAGTTAATAATAAGAATCTTATCTATTAAGTTTGATAATTAAAATTCATCACTTGTAATTCACCTATTTAGGACCACAGAAGATGCAATTAACCATGAAAAGCTCTCTGTGGTGAGTGACAGTCACAACATGGAACTGGTTAGTGTCCTAGAGATGGGGGTTTAACCTACACCCAGGTCTTTTGTACCAGGCCCAAATTTACCTTTCTAGTCTAATTTCTTGATTACTATCTGTTTTCTGAACATTATATTTTTACCTGCCTTTATGTAAAATACCACCCCAGCACCACATTCAGCCAAACCCAAGGCTCTACTTAAGTGACTTCTCTTGCACCTCTTACATAAAAATATATCTAGCATGGGGCTGGAGAGATGGCACAGTGGTTAAGAGCACTGGCTGCTCTTCCAGAGGACCCGGGTTCAATTTCCAGCACCCATGTTGCAGTTCACAACTGTCTGTTACTCCAGTTCCAGGGGATCCAACACCCTCACACAGATATACACACAGACAAAACAATTCACATAAAATAAATAAATAAGTCAATCTTTAATATATACATACATACATACATACATACATACATACATACATACATACATACATCAGAATCATTAAGAGTCCCTGTGGTTGTTTGAAAGAAAATGGGAAGTGTGTCACTGTCGGGGCAGGTCTCTTTTGCTCAAGCTTCCCTCAGTGTGACAGTCAGTCAACTGTCTGAGTCAAGATGGAGCACTCTCGGCTACAGCACTATGTCTGCCTAAACACCGACATGCTCCCCACCATAATAATGGACTAAACCTTTGAAACTGTAAGCTGCCCCCTCAATTATATGTTTTCACTGTAAGAGTTGCCAAGATCACAGTGTCTTTTCCCAGCAATAGATACCTAAGACACACCCCTTTTTGGTTTCCCCAGGGCTTTCTGTTTACCAGTGCAATTCTAGATAAGTCTGCACTGATTTGGAATAGACTGGAACTGAAAGAATTCACATGGCTGAACTCTGCTCACTGGTCTTTTAAATGCTACCATTTAACTTCCCACATAGCTCCTAGGAACAAATAAACTGCTCAATTCTTACCCACCTGCAGAAACTACAGCAGCAGGCAGAAGTCAGAACAGAATTCACTATTAGATCCAAAAAGGATCTAATAAGGATCAAGATTTAGAGATAATGTGTCTCCAAGGCCTAACAGGAAGTACTAGAATATTATATATAAAATAATCAAATGATGATGACAACAACAAATCACAAAAAAACCCCAATTATCTTATGTTTAAAAAACAATTCAAAGCTAGCAGTGGTGGTGCACACCTTTAATCCTAGCACTCAAGGCAGAGACAAGTGGATCTTAATGAGTATGAGGCCAGCCTGGTCTACAGAGTGAGTTCTAGGAGAGCCAGGACTGTTACACAAAGAAACTCTGTCTCCAAAAAGACAACATGAAAAATTGGTGCCATCAAGGTCCTGGAGTTTTCCAGACGTTAGGGCAATGTTGCTCATTAAACTGTTCTAAAGGCATCTTCAAGTAGAAGGCCTTCAAAGCCCTGAAGAGCTGTTGCTTGCCAGGCACTGCACCAGGAGGAAGCCTGGAGTGAAAGAAGGTAAACAGCCAGCTCACCTGAGAAGCATTTTACCTTCACTGCATGCTAATGCCTGCCCTAGCAACTCCTGCCTGAGCTGACTCAAGGCCTGGGCTGGCACAGAATTTATAATCCCACACAGCCTGCAAAATGCTGATATTATACATGTGCTTTGCAACACTTTCTTGAAAAAGTCTTCAAGCTATCAGAACGGAGTCCACACACACCTGCTGTGCTACAGAAAATGCCACTTTCTCCAGTGCAGATGGAAGTTGTAACAAGACTTAGATAAACCATGATCAGTCAATTTAAAAATGCATTTACATGATGCCACCCACTCTCAAACAGAGCTAGTTCTGGCTATTTGAAAGAAAAAGGCTCCTCAGACACAGGTCAACATACAAGTGCATCTGGGTGACCTTGTGCTTCATAATGGTGACAAAAAAAATCTGAAGCAGTTTTTGTTAAGTTTCCCTCAAGCGACAGTAGCTAAGGCCCAGGAGGGAAGATGTTCTTAAATATTAGCATTTATGTGTCTACCGTAATGTGAGGGACTATAACAAGTATAAAACCTATAATTAGGGTGGCACACACCCTAATCTCAGCACAGGCAGATGCTGGTGAATCTCTGTGAGTTCAAGGGTAGCCTGGTCTATAGAGGGATTTCCAGGACAGTCACAGCTATGCAGAAAAACCCTGTCTCAAAAAAACAAAACAAGAACAAACTCATAATTATTATAAGTGTTACTCTTAAGGGTAAAATAGGCATTTAATTCTAAGATTAGGTCAATTTATAAGGGAAAATAGTACAACTACCACACAGTGCTAATAAAAATCATAATATTGAATAGTGAACTGCTTGTTAAGAAGTCAAGGACAAGCTTTTGAAAACTGATTGTCATCACTCTTAGGCAAACTGGATATAACAATAGAGACCAACAATGTTAAGCTCTGTTTAGAAAATACAGAACTTTATAGACTTTTAAATTACTTATTTGCTCATTTCATGCATACAGGTATTTTGTCTTGCATGTATGTCTGTATACTACATGAGTGCATGGTGCCCACAGAAGCCAGAAGAGGGCACTGGATGCCCTGGGACTGGAATTACAGACAGTTGTGAACCATTTTGAGGGTGCTAGAGATTGAACCTGGGTCCCCTGCAAGAGTAGACAGTGCTCTAACCCCCGAGCCATCTCTCCAGGCCCTGTAAAGGCTTTTAATAGGAATCTATGCGAAATCTATCTTCTGTAGCCCCTCATCCTTTCCTCCCAGACAATGAACATAAATGTGTGACTGGTCAGCTAAGCACACTGCTTGGTATTACACTCTGGCGCTATAATTCGGTCACAAGTTTTGGCTCCCAACAGGCCTGGGCTGGAATCTTGGGCGCATACCTGTGGTTGGATGGGAGACGGAGGGACTGACAGAGAAGTTACTCTAAGTGCTGTGGAGGACAGGAACACTTCCTGAGAAGGGCTGGTACCATGTGCATAGAGCTATGGGTGGTGAGTAAGCCCTCCCTGCAGAGCAGCCCCTAGCAGGAAGCAGCTTATGTCCTCCTACAAGATTTATGGACTCAGTTACAAAATCAAAAAGCTTTAAAAGAAAAAGGCAGTGAGAACTACAAAGTTTTAATTACAGTTAATTTGGGGAAGAAAAACAGAATCACAAGTGGAGAGAGGAACCAGTTACTTTGTATTTTATAAAGTTGAAATCCTTCAAAATGATATTGCTTGTTTCCTATATCACTTGTGCTTTAAAAAACACAGTTCTCAATGCTAAGTTTTATATTTCAACTTGTATAAAATGGTGACTGCTCATGAATAAAAATGAATGTCTACATATGAGAGACATGGCACTCTAAGCCTAGTGTACACAGATGAGACGGGGTCAAGCACTAGGCACCCAAAGCCCTGATACTCATCAGGACTCAGCTGTGTGCAGTGGGTCAGCTACTTTTCTTTCCCGTTCAAACCTCTTCACAGGTGTAGTGCCTGCTAACAACAAATGCTGCCTCAAAACAATTGCCTAAATACTCGAAACATAAGGAACTTCACTGGTTGCTGGTGGTACATGCCTTTAATCCCAGCACTTGGGTGGCAGAGGCAGGTGGATCTCAGTGAGCTCAAGGCCAGCCCGGTCTACAGAGCAAGTTCTAGGACAGGCTCCAAAGCTACACAGAGAAACCCTGTCCCAAACCGCCTCCCCTATGCCCCCCGCCCAAGAACTTCAGTCTGGGGCCGGGGATCAGGAAGCTAGGCAGGTTGTTAAATCAAGCTCACTGGGATACCCAAGCACTGCAGTCTGAGCACCACAGACATTCTTGGCCAGGGGAAACCACACAAACTACTTCTTTCAATGGTCAGCCAGAGAAGAGAGAGGCCGAGTTCCTATAATAACATTCATTTCCTGATTTGGGCCTTTTATGTCAGCTTTTCAACTGGAAGCAAATGTTCGTGAACATGTTCAAAGACAAAGAAATAAGTCTAATGTGGGACAGTTCCCAAGACCTTAACCAGGGCGGCACCTAGTGGGTACAGCCACAACCAAATTAAGACCAAATATTCTAACCTAACAAATCTTTTTAGGAACTCATTGTGCACCTTCTACACTTACATCAAACATAAAGCATGTGTTATCTGTCATAGGAAATTTTTTCCCTAGGTCTTCATGATCTTCTATGACTATTAAAAGAACAACTCCCCATTTTTCTTTACGAAAAAGTGTACGATCTGAAGCAACCAAGTTTCTCTTCTAGAATTGGGAAATTTCAGCAGTCTAGAAGTTATAGATTCACACAAAGAATCAGCAGAAAGGGTATGTGATAGGTAGAGTTTTAGTTGGGGAGGAGGGGGGGAGAGGGAACTGGGATTGACAAGTAAAACAATCTTGTTTCTAATTCAAGTAAAAAAATTGAAATAAAATTAAAAAATAAAATAAAAAATAAAAAACAATCACAGAATATACAATTCAGGGAGGCTGAGGAAACTTCAGCCAGACAGAAGTGAGTTGAAAACATACCAGGGCAAAAGTAAGAGCTTCAGTGAAGCCAGCAGCAGCCATGTCAAGTCTGAGGAGCTCCGTGAGCTTGTTGAGAGGAAACTGGGGAAAAAGCAACACACCACGACATTTCAAAGCTGCTTTGTTGTTTAGACAGATTCATGCAGAACATACCACTAAAAGGAAAGAAGCTTCTCTCCTCACCAGCAGACTGCTAATATCCCCACCACAGCATCCAACAGTCTCCCACCCCACCTCTCCCATACAGCGTCTGCCTTCAGGCCCAAGCTGAGAAAATGAATCTTCCACTTAACGAGATTCAACAAGAGCTCCACACCTGAAACCTGTCTCTCTTCAAAGAACTAGTCATCACAGGTTCTCAACTCACTCTAATCACTTGGGCATCTGTTTCGTATCCTTCCCATAGCAAATGCCTCTCACAGCAAAACACATCCAAATGCTGCTTAATTCCCAGGTTCTGTTTGTCTCGAAGCCTTCCTGGCACTCAACAATCAGTTGCTAACAACAGGAGTGTTTATTTAAGGGTGCAATCTCACTTGATTAGCTATGGTGTATGTTTTCGGCAGAGTCATCTGAATGTTGTTATATCCATAGGCAATAGCTGCGTCCTCCACGATGTCACAGGCATGGATAACGTCGGCTCTGGTGGGAGGAATTTCAACCTCAATCTGATTGCCATCACCTATGACTTCTGACTTTAGACACATTCTGGTCAGGAGCTTGGCAAGGTTTGCAGGAGATTCCCTAAAAAGAGAACCACAGCACAAACCATAAGCTTCCCTGGAATAGGTAAAACACGCTTACATTCTGTTTTAAGACATCTACCTGAAATAGTAACCACTCTTTGAGTTCTGTTAGGTATCAAATATCCTAGCTTACTATCAAGCACTCTTTCAAGAAAAATAACTCACTGTACACTTTATGCCTAAATTATCTTCGCTCCCACCATAAATAAGTTTCAAAGCATACCTGATTCCAACTTTCTTGTTAATTAAATCAGCTCTCACCATCTCTTTTCTGTAAGCCAGCTCCTGAGAGAGAGAGAGAGAGAGAGAGAGAGAGAGAGTTTGAAAACTTCAATCGTTCCTCATCAGATGTAGTTTTCTAGTCTTTCTCATTCAAGCAGCTGTTGCAGCTTTATTACTCAGCCAAGAGACGATTCTTAGTGCCACACACTGAAATTAAACCCATGGGGGTTTTTTTGTTTTGTTTTTGGAGACAGGGTTTCTCTATCTAGCAGCCCTGGTTGACCTGGTACTCAGAGATCCCCCTGCCTCTGTCTCTGTGCTAGAATTAAAGGCATGGGCCACCATTGCCCAGCCTAAACCTGAGGTTTTTATAGAACCAATTTGTTACACTTGACTCATATGAATATTTTCTGTCCTAAATTATTAGTTTACTTGGAAGTAATATAGTCCCAAACATTTTCTTTTACAAGGCCATCCCCAGCCCTACAATATAACACTATCATATATATCACTTCTAAGATGTTTACAAATGTTTCATCTTATGCAAGCAAAGTATATGGCCGAGGGACAACAATCCAACTGTCACAATAAACCATTCACTGTAATAGTGAGACTTAGGGAGCACATTTCTCAGGTTAGCCAAATGCTCCATGGGTAAAGGAGCTTGCTGCCATGTCAGATGACCTGAGTTCAACCCCCAGGACCCACATGATAGGAGAGAAATTTGTCCTGCAAGCTGTCCTATGACTTTGACTTGGGTATTGTAGTTCACACACCCTAAATAAACACAATCTGTTTGTTTGCTTGTTTGTTTCCTGAAACTGGGGGCCTTGTGCTTGCTAAGAAAGCATTCTACCACTGAGCTAAATCCCCAATACCCATAATTAATTTTTTTAAAAAAATGAATAAATTTCTCTGTTACCATTTCCCAAGAAGAAAAGTACTAAATGTTCCCAGACCTTTCTACCAATCTGCTCCAGGAGACAATAAAGTGGATGTGAACATGTCATAAACTGACATTCACTCTCCTTCAAATGGCAAAAAATCTTAATTACCTTAGGTGAAAGCACACATGCATAAAACTGAGGCTCTCCACCACCTTTGCAAACAGCTTATGAACACTTAGCCCAAATTACTCTCAATGTATAGTTATTGAGTGCACACAGGCATGCATGAAATAATGAAGTGACAGAGAGCCTAGCTCCAAAGCTCACACTATTAATCACTGACCTCCAAAACCTTACTCCTTTCTATGAAGCAGCACGGCTAGTGAAAGACAACAACCAACCTTCCCAGTGTTTTGGGGAAATCCTGCATTGCATATACGGAAGGAGTACTCCCCCTTGGGGAGTCCTGCTCTGCAGACAACCTCAGCACTGTTCTAGGACACATTTAAGAGAAAACATTCTTGAATCTCCAGCACTCCTTTTCAGAAACCCACAATTTTAAATTTACAAAAGTGCTCTATAATATATGAATGCGTTTATGAGGCTATCTATACCAGGAAAAAGCAAACAAACTTTAAAGCGTATTTTTCCTCTTCTTTACAAAAAAATATATATTGCTTTATTAAAACCTGACAATCACTCATACTTAAAAATCTCTGAGCTCCAAGCCAGCCTGGTCTACAAAGTGAGTTCCAGGACAGCCAGGGCTACACAGAAAAATCCTGTCTCAAAAAACAGGACCCAAGTTCAATCCCCAGCATCTACATGAGGGTTCACAGCCAAATGCAACTCCAGTTCCAAGAGCTTTGATGTCCTCTTCCGGCCTCCACAAGCGCTGCGCAGACACAGATACACACAGACACACAGACACACACACACAGACACACAGACACAGACACACACACACACACACACACACACACACAGAGCGCTCACATACACACTAATAATACCAAAATATTTCAAAAGAATATCATACTAGACACTAATGTTTTTAAGAAGGGTAATGTTTTTATCTTAGCAGATTTTATCATACTTTTACAACTATTTTACTGGCTGGGAGGAAGTAGAGAAAGATACTTCACACCAAGTCTAATGACTTAAGTTCCATCCCTGGTACTCACATGGTGGAAAGAGAGAATCAAGTTCTATAAATTGTGGGGCACACACACTCACACACAAATAAATGTAATTCAGGGGCTGGAGAAATGATTCATGTGTTAAAAGCACTGAGTACTCCTTGACAGGACCCAGGTTCTGTTCCCAGCACCCACATGACCGCCCACAACCATCTGTAGCTCCAGTTCCAGGGATATACACCCTCCTCTGACCTCCTTGAGCAGTAGGTCCAGAACACACATGGTGCAGACAGGTAAAACACTTGCATGCATAAAACTTTTAATTTAAAAAAAAAAAGCAATTTTATGTTCTGATTCACTTCATAAATAACAGAGAAAGGAGAGAAGGAAGAAAGGAAGGAGGGAGGGAGAGAGGGAAAGAGAAACTCACAAAGGCTGATCAGAGAATGGTCTCACCGAACCAAAATCACAACTAAATGATTGTGAAAATGTTCCATTTCAAAATGACACCTTACAGTGCATATGGTGGCATATTCCAGAGGGAGACAGGAAGATCATGAATTCAAGAATAGCTTTAGTAACATTGTGAATTCCACACCAGTCTCAGCTACAAAGTAAGATCCTGTCTTAAAAGCAACCAAAAATAAATAAAGAATAAAACCAATTTCTACCAAGACCCCGTGTTTAACAATAACTGTGCTTACTTCTAATCCAGTCTGAACACATTCAGAGATACTACAGTGAAGCCTTCGGCAATTACAATTTCCAATGTGAACACACTAGCTTGATTTGCAGAACTAGAACTGAGTAATCGGAAAGGGATGAGACTATAAATCACCCAGCTAAACTAGTCAATAGAGGACAGATCAGAGAATTATATTACTAAGTAATACACCATGATGACAGCTACAGTCAGGAGCCTGCACTTAAATCCTTGCCACAACACTTACTAACAGACACCCATTAAACATTCCAGGCCTCATGACCTCCCTACAGAGAAGCAGCACACTGCTCACCCTCACTGAGAAATGAATCCCTGAGACATGGTGCAGGGTGTGCTGCAAGGCTGGGTGGGTGGTCAGATGGACTAAACACAGAGACACAAATACTCAACAATCACTACGGGAAATGCGGGTAGGACTACTATTATCATCATCTTTTAAGAACTTACTGGAAAGGTACTTGATTTTCCATTAGGAGAAACTACTTCAGCTGCTTCAACTCTAAAAATAAAAGAAAAAAGCTCATAAGTAAAATGCTTAAGAAAATGAGCTATAAATTCTTAAAATATACATGTTTAATAACTGTTTTATAGTCTAGTCTCAACATGTTCGATTGCTCACATCCTAGCATCATCATTTTGACCAATCTTCCTACATACAATATTATTCTACCACTCCAGGTCCCAAGGCTCCCTCCCCAACCCCTTTATACAGTGGCCACCTGAAAAGCTTATTTCCCAGTGTATAAGGCATGCATCCTACATGGACTCCTTAACAATACTGATGTATATCCCAAACTTTACCAGGATATTATGTTGCAAGACAGAAGCTAGCATATAAATTCCTTGAAATGCAAATCATAAAAATAAGAAAACTTTATAACTTCAGTCATTTTTATTCTCATACATTTACTATGAATTATAACTGAGTCTAGCATAAGCTGATGCCAATACACAGTAAGGACATGTAGCTTTGCCATATCCTTTACACCTCTGTTTAGCTAGTCCTCCATCTTTACATCTTCAAGCCTACTGGTCAATAAATACCACTTAAATTACATTGCCTCCAAGAGGCCTTGCCAAATTGGCCTTACAAGTACCAGAATACTGGCAAAAGAGTAACACTTTCCACTTTGCATATTGTTTAGAGCTATGTCATCTCTCCAGATTTGTCCTAGCTACAGAAAGCACATCTAAATACACGCATTGACAGACCTTAGCTATATTCCCCAAAGCTGATATCCAAGCTAAACACATAAGAGTAAAGCATATGTCCCAATAAGGTTTTATTCTTTCTAATTTGTATATTTTATGTGTATGAGTGCTTTGTCTTCCTGTATATATGTGCACTACATTGTTATAAATAGCACAGGGAGGTCTTATAGCCTTAGTTTCAGAGCACTGGCCAATGATGGTGCTAAGTACACTTACGTAAACTGATTTTCACAGTATTCACTGAACATGGTGACAATAATGTCAAGCACAATTTTTGCCTGCAAAAGAAAAAATACAAATATTATGGTAACTTATAAGTATATTCTCACTCACTTCAGATGTAATGAATATTTATTATAATTTAGTCTTCAAACACCTAAAAAATGAACCCTTACATACACACTCTAAGAAAGGAAGTAGAATAAAAACGTAGGAGCAGGCTAGTTCTTATCTTCAGGTGTTCTCTATTTATGCAGCTCTCTGAGAGTTACAATCCATGACTGAAACAAATCGTTTCGTTCCCCACCCCAACCCTGGATTATGAGGTTTCAGGAGAGACAAATGGCTAGTTACTGAAGTAAATGTTATCAATTTCATAAGTCTCTGAAACCAGACTGCTGGAATCCTGGCTAAACCACTTACTAACAATGTGACTTTAGATGATCTACTTTATTCTCTCTGAATCGCAATTCTTTCTTTGGTTAAGTAGAGATAATAAAAATTCCTACCTTTGGCAACTATAAATGAACAAACAAACACAAAACACATGGATCATCCCTAATATGTAGTAAGAGCCATATAAGTTCTTAGGGTAAAGCAAATCCTTACTAGGCAGAGAAGAGTCTCTTAAGGGTCCTGTTTGCACATGCCAACTTCCTATAGGATCTCTCTATTTGCTTATCTGCACACCCTCTCAGCTTTCCTGCCCATGTATAAAGAGGTCATATGTCACAGAACAAAGCTTTCCTAGCAATCAAATCCAACATTTGTAGTAACTGAAAGTGAGTGGACAGACAGGCGTTGGTGGTGCACGCCTTTAATCCCAGCACTTAGGAGTCACAGGCAGAGGCAGGCGGATCCCTGTGAGTTCGAGGCCAGCCTGGTCTACAGAGCAAGTGCCAGGATAGGCTCCAAAGCTACACAGAGAAACCCTGTGTAGGGTTTCAAAACCTGTCTCAACAAACAAACAAAAAAAGTGAGTGGACAACTAGGAAGCTGAACAATGTAGACACCCTCAGGAATGTAAGCTATAAAGTAACTAAAGATAAAGGTTCTTTTTACCCAATTCTTCTGCTTTGGTTTTTTTGATACATTGTCTCCAGTAGCCCTGAATTCTTGACCTTCCTGGGCCTTTCAAGGGCTGGGATTCTGGGCACACCACTCTCCCATACCCAGAACAGCCAGTTCTTTTTTCTTTTGTTTTGTTTTGCTTTTTTGAGACAGGGTTTCTCTGTATCACTTTGGAGCCTATCCTGGAAGGCATTCTGTAGACCAGGCTGTTCTTTTTTTTGAAGAAAAACTTTGCAAGTACGGAGAAGCAGACTACTCACTTAAATTAAGCTGATGTGGTAGAACGACTGCAGTCTCTATAGTCCATGTCTATCTTGCTAAGCTAAGAAACATATACTTACAAAGTTCTTAGAACTGGAAAGACATTAGGTGCTCAGTAAGCATTTGTAAATTAATGGCAGTACCATAAACAAGTTTATATTATCCACAGCATTTTAATTTTCTGTTTCGACAGTATGTCCCCACCTCTTATAACATTTTAAACTTTAAAATTCAGTCTTGGCCCAGAAGTAAAATGTATCTCATCTGACAGTATAGGAGTTAACAAAAGATTTTATTTACCTTAGTGAAGTCAGTTCCTGTGCATTCAATAAATATATTCCTAGTATTTACTGTTATTTTTGAATGATTCCCTGTAAACAATGACCAACAAAAATTTCAGAGATATGGCATAATACAAGTCTTAATTTTTAAAAGCAAAATCACATTTTAAAGTTAGAAAATAATCTAAATACCCTAGAAAAGGATATACAACTTTTTTTCCTTTGATTTTTGTAGATAGGGTATCATCAGCCTAACTTAACCCAGAATTCACTATACAGCCCAGACCACAGTGATCCTCCCTGGAATCCTCAGCATTCCAAGAACTGGTGGTATGAACCACTATGCCTGGCTATAGGCTATTCCTTATACAAGTATTTATTTAGTGTTTGTGCCATGGCACATGTATGAAGAACAGAGGACAACTAGCAAGAGTTGTTCTTGTTCCACCATGTAGGTTCCAGGAATCAAACACAGCTCAGCAGGTGTAGAGTCAAGTGCCTTTACCTTCTACTGAGCCATGCCACCAGACCTGGGATTCGAGACTTTTAAGCTTCCATAGCAAGTTGGAAAATACAGATAATCTTCATCATCTTATGATATAACTGCAAACAATCCCAGGACTTAGAAAGGAAAGGCAGGTGGACTTGTGTGAGCTCAAGGCAAGCCTGGTCTAGACAGCAGTTTCTGGACACCCGTGGCTATGTGGAAAAACCATCTCAAAACATAAAACAAACAACAACAAAAAGAAAACTAAGGTTTAGAAAGATTAAACCACCTGATCAGGATCACAAACTATGAAGGACTAAGGTTAAGGTTAGTTTGGATCTATTAACTTGGAGGTCCACATTCTTGACCATCAAAACCACAGCCATTCTCAATCTCAACATTTCCCTCTCATCCTGTGTCAGCTAAACCTCCTTCTGATCTCCCCAAAGCCACACATCTGTGGCTTAGGCATCATTAAACTGAGTAAACACATGTAAGCTGCTTTATAAGCTTTCTTCACAAGGGAATTAAGAGTACAAAATTTAAATAAGTTTTAGTTTATAAAACTACAAATCAGGCCAGGCAGTGATGGTGCACACCTTTAATCCCAGCACTCGGGAGGCAGAGGCAGGCGGATCTCTGTGAGTTCGAGACCAGCCTGGTCTATAAGAGCTAGGTGAGGACAGCCTCCAAAGCCACAGAGAAGCCCTGTCTCGAAAAATCCCAAAAAGAAAAAAAAAAAAAAGAGCAAAAACAAACTACAAATCAGAGCTTGAGTTCAATAAAGAGACTTGCTGTTAATACCAAAACATCTACATAAAAGCAAACAAACAAATGAAAATGTCTCTTGCTCTTTTTTACCCAAAGGGCCGGTTCACTTGCCACTTGAGCCTGGCAGCCTGAGTTCAATCCTGGAACCCACCCACATTGTGGAGGGGGAACAGACTCTTGAAAGATGTCCTCTGACCTTCACACATGCCATGGTATGCATGCTCCCACACCAGCCCAAGTACATAAACTAGCCAGACACTAAAAATATCTAAAATATCAATCACCCTGAAAGAATGTGACAGAACCCATGGATTAGTATCAGAATATATTTAAACATGCATAGATTTTTACAGTTACAAATTAAACACATACCCTATTTCATTCAAAATAGTACAGATTTTTACATAAAAATCAGCAATTAAACTAAAGGTTTTGAAAAATACATAAAAAGAACTTTAAGATAAAAATCTATGGGACTGGAGAGATGGCTCAGTGGCTCAGAGCACTTGTTGCTCTTGCAAAGGATTTGGGTTCAGTTCCCAGCACTCGAATGGTAATTCATGACCATCTGTAACTCCTGTACTAGGATTCGATGTTCTCCTCTGGCCTCCACAGAGTATCAGGCGCACATGTGGTGCAGAGACACCATGCAGGCAAAACATTCATACCCATAAAAAATATTTTTTAATTTTTAAATAACAAAATCTACAAAAGACCTGAGATTCAGTCAGTAGGGAGCCGTCCCTGCATTCTCCATTACAAGATGGCGCCTGCATCCGGCAGGCACCGAATGTAAACAAGATTATTGTGCAGGCGCTGGGTAATTTTCCATTCCTTGATCTCTGCCTATTCCGTGGCGTCATATGGCCGGATGAGCTACAGCCAATCATAGGGTGACACGTCCCAGGCGGCGGCTGCCAGCCTTTATTAGGGGACGGGATTCTTGGCTCAGTGTCTCCGCTCTGGTAAGCTTATGCTCTCCCCTCACAAGATGCATTAAAGCTTGTCTGCAGAAGGATCCGAGTGTCCCGTGTATGATTTCTTGCTGGCGAGAAATACAGAGCGTGCGCGGGACATATGGTGCCGAAACCCGGGAACATGTGAACATCTCCAGCACCGCGGAGATGTTCTTCTTATTAAATAATAAGAAGAAACTGCAAAGATCCATGCTCTTCATGAAGTTCACCCTATTAAATAATAAGAAGAAACTGCAAAGATCCATGCTCTTCATGAAGTTCCTTACCATTTATTATTGGAGGCATCGAGAGGACCACACCATTGCTGTCATAGATAACTGGATACAGGGGCTTATTTTCAATGATATGTAAATAATGCTTAAGGTGGTTGTCAGTCTGAAAAGTATTCAATAAAACAAAATTATTTATTTCTACTTTAACAAGCTGACACTAATCTAATGTTTAAAAAGTCAGAAAAACACCAAAAATGTTCTAAATGGCAGAAAGCTATAAACCATAAACTTTACCAGTATAAATGGGCATCTTAAAGTTTGCATACAGTCTCTACCATCAGAGTGAGATACGAAACAGGTCATTTTCCCAGAGTGAAAGTAGATTTGCATTGACACTGCCAAATCATCACAAACAAAATGCAGCCATCTCAAAATTCAAAAAGAAAAATTAAGTCACTGGTAAGTTAGGAGAAACTATTTCTTCTTGCTATTTTCAATGTTAAGTGATGGCTGAATCCATTCTCACTGTTGCTAATATGCTAATAACTAAGCATGCTAATGACAGGGGTAGATATTTTGCAATGGTATTCCTCACATATACAAAATAGCTAAATTTCTAGTTAAACATGCAAGAATTAACCCATATGAAATTATTTATCCTTAGATTATACTGTATCAGAACAGATTAATGTTTATTTAAATAAATAAATGAATACAAATGGGGTTATTTAAAATAAGTTTCTTTATAACTTATTATCAGCAAATACTTGATTTCCACACCTGTGTGCTATACCTGTATCCCTACAGTCACGTGAGAAGAGGTCATTGAGCAGGAAAGCTCAAAAAGCCCTGGTGCAGACCCCTTTCTAAATCAGGTGAACCCATTTCTTTGGGATAGAGCCCAGACACTCCTCTGTTTCTTAAAAAGCATTCACTATCTTTTCCTAATTCAAGACTTGACATGAAAGGCATTTCATGGTTTATTCAAAGCTATGGGGTGATAATAATAATAACCTTGTATGTAAGGTAAGGCTAGTGACTCCCTCAAAAACACTGTTATAAATCGTGCACGTTAACTGCAAATTGAGAAGGAACACATACATGTCTATTTTATTTTTTGGTAAAAAGAAAAACCAAAAATAGTACCGAGTTAATAAGACAGCTTAGCAGGTAAAGGTGCTTACCTCCCACAAGCCAGGCAATCTGAGTTCAATCCTCAGATCCATTCTGGAAGGAGAGAATCAATAGGCCACTGATCTCTACATCTAACTATGGAACATTCAAACACAGATGTGTGCACGTGCACAAACACACACAAAACAAAACAGAAGACTTTTTTTTTTACCTTGTATATATTCATTAGTTCACAAGCTGTATACTCCTTGGTCTTATTCAGAGGCTTGAATTTGATATCTGAAGGACGTTTTGCAGTAAAAGTAAATGGGCCTGATAAAGTGTCCAAGTCATGAGTGCCAATAGCAACCAATGCTCTTTTTCTAAACGTCAAAAAAGGGATAGGAGGAGAAAAGGGGAAATGAGAGTGAGACATCTTAATATTCTGTAGATAAGAGACCGTATGTTTTAAAATTTTATTTTAAACACTTCCTTAAAACAGCCCATGCCTGCTACATAACATCTTTATTGCAATATAACAAATTCTCACAATCATTAAAATAGTGAGAACAAAGTGTTGGTTAAACATTAATAGTAGAAACAAATGCTTTCCCAAGTATTATGTTCTTATGAGGGAGGGAGGGAGGAAGATTTTTCTAACATGTCCAAAATAGACAATCTGCCAGTCACTTCCTAACTATCATTGCTTGTCAGTCTTGTACCTTATTCTTTTAAAATACTCTACTTTGCTGCAGGCAGATTGCTCCCATCAGGTTGCCCCTGCCCACTCACTGCACCCTTATAATGTACAATCAACAACTTTTTTCTTCAAAATAAATTCAGCTTATTATTTTGCTTAGTAATGCCATATATCAGCAAGCTAAAACATAGGTTTTTTTTAATATAAAAGGACTAAGAATGTTATTTAGAATCCTAGGAACATGTTTCTACTATCTGAGCAAAGGTATTTTACAAAGAAGAAAACACATAAGCACTAATTGCCAAATTTGATTTGTAGTTTTAAGCATTTTTCAACCCTGAAGAAGATATCCAGAATATTCCTTCTAGGCTGTCACTGGCCTGTCCCCATATACACCACATATACATCCCTCCAGTCAGTGCAGTTTCAGGAGCTTAATTATTAATTCGCTTTTCTATCTTTTTTCAGTTTTCTATTTTAAAGAACACGTAATGTAACCGTCAGTATTATCTTTGGATTCACATAATTTGTTTTGAAATCAACACAAAATAGCTAAAGCTAGAGTTTCTCACCACGAATAAATATTCAATTTTCTTTTTTGTTGTTTGTTTAGACAGGGTCTACCCACACAGTCCTGGCTAGTTTGGAACTAGGCTGGACTTGAGTATATAATGAACTTCTTGCTTCTGCCTCTTGAGTGCTAGAAATACAAATGTATACCGCCATACCTGGCCATGAATTCATTACATTTCTGTCCCCTTTGTTAGACAGGGTGTCACTATGTAGCTGGCCCCGAACTCAATCTGTAAGTTAAGAGTTAGAGTAAAACTAACTCACAGAAATCTGTCTGCCAAGGAAATTACTTCAATACTCCCATTCTTACCTTCCCTGACTATTAGGGCTTGGGAATAAAAGGTTTAAAGAACCCTGCACTAGAGAAAACAACACGGAAAGTGATGTGCCATAAAGCTCAGGCTAGGACATCTGCCTAACACAAGTAAGGCACTGGGGTTAGTACACAGCACAATCAGAGATAAAGCAACTACAGTCATGGATGTTCAGGTTGTTTCTATTTCATTTTTTTACAGTGTTGTGATCAAGCCTAGGCCCACACTATATATTAGGTCTATGACTATCCCTCCTCAAGTTTTATATGCTAAAACTAGAAAGTATACCAAGCAAAGGAACTTTTACATTTTTTCAATGCCAGGCTATCCTTCAAATTACCATGGTTTATACTTGGTAATGTAATTAATAAGGATCTAAACAAGGTTGGGAGCATATAGCTCAATGGTAGAGTATTTACATGCATAAGGATCTTGGTTTGACCCCAGCATGCACAAATAAACAAACCATACTTACAAACATAATTTTTAAAATGATTTGAACAGAAAGAAAATAAACAAAAAAACTTCTAGGAATAAAAATCCTCTACATACCACACATACACCATTCTTAAGATTTTTGTTTGTATTTATGTTTTATACATATAGGTGCACACACACACACACACACACACACACACACACACACACACACACACACACACACAAACACGTGCAGGTCCCAAGAAGCCCTGAGGCTGTCACATGACCTGGCTGCATCATGTGGGTGCTGGGAACCAAAAGCAAGGGCAGCAAGTCCTCTTACATTGCACCATCTCTCCAACCCCACACACACTGGTCTTAAACAGTAACAAACTATCTACCTGGTATAGCAAAGTGAAATTCTCCCATGACCAGTGTTTAGAAATGTTTTGAAAACAATCTGCAGAAGGTTGTGTGGTGGTTTGAAAGAGGCTCATATGTTTGAATGCTTGGTCCCCAGGCAGTGGAAATATTTGAGAAAGATTGGGATGTGTGGCTTTGCTGGAGAAATTGCATCTCTGGGGGTGAAAATGGAATTTCCAAAAGCTCATGCCATGCTCAGTGTGTCTCTGTCTCTCTACCTGCTGCCTGAAGATCAGAATGTAAAGCTCGCAGCATGGTGCCTTCCTGTCTGCCTGCCACCATGCTCCCGCCATGATGGCCATAGACTAACCCTCTAAAACTGTAAGCAACGCCCCCCCCCCCAAACATTTCCTTTCACTGTAAGTTTCTTGGACATGGTGTCCCTTTTCAGTAACAGAATAGTAACTAAGACAGGTAGGTACATGAGACAAGGAGATGGGAAACGGAAGGGATGGAAAGGAAGCAGGAGAAGGGGGAAACAGGATGAAGCCCCATGAACCTGCAAATATTCTGGTGTAGTTTCTCTTGAAGTTCAATGAAACTGTCGTATCGATCTTTCGTGAACTTGATATTCCGGAGAACGGCTGCTACAGCAAATGGACGTACTTTAGCTGTCTGGAAGTCAGAACACCATCAAGACAGTTAGTACTATGGCTTACCTTTGTCAAAGCCATTTTACCACAGAAAAGTGGTCACAAATTTTGACTCAAATAGGCATATAGTCATGTAGTCAATCAACAGGAGTTAAGTGGTAAGCAGGAGATATACAGGTATTATACAAGCAGATGTACATTTCAGTATGATTTTGGAATACTAAATAATTAAAGAACAATTAATCTTAAATAATTTGTTCATACGCCTTACTTTTACCAAAAGAATTCCTCCACATTTTACTTTTATAAATTTTATTAATGTACCACAATTTAAACAAGTGTATATCAAATATGTCTTATTTATTTAATCATTTTTTTTTATAGCAGACATTGAACACGAGCATCTCTCAGACTAAGCTAGTGCTCCACCACTGAGCTATATATAACCCCGGCCCTCACGCTTTTTCTTTGTTGTGGTTTGGACTTTTTGAAACAGGATCCCTCTCTTATGTACTACAGGCTAGCTTCAAATTCACTGCACAGATGATGCTGGCCTTGAACTCTTCATCTTCCTGCCTTCACCTCCCAAGTTCTGAAATTACAGGCTTGCACCACCATACCTGGCTCAAATGTGCTTTGTAAAAGCAATTTACTTTGTTTTCTTTTATTTCTTAGTAGTAAACTGGCCATCTTTTAAAGATTATTATTTTGCTGGGCATTGGAGGCGCATGCCTTTAATCCCAGCACTCGGGAAGCAGAGGCAGGCGGATCTCTGTGAGTTGGAGGCCAGCCTGGTCTACAGAGAGAGTGCCCCAGGTTAGGCTCCACAGCTACACAGAGAAACCCTGTCTCGAAAAAAAAAAAAAAAAAGATTATTATTTTATTTTAAATGCACAGGTGTTTTGCCTGCATATATGTCTGTGCATCGCATGTATGCCTGGTGCCCACAGAGACCAGAGAGACCATCAGATGGTTGTGAGCTGCCATATGGGTGATGGGAATGGAACCCAGGTCCTGTATAAGAGCAGCCAGCACTCTTAACTGCTGAGCTGTCTCTCCAGCCCCATAAACTGACAATTTTTAAGGGAGAAAAACTGCAAATGCACCAATGGAAATAACACATGACCACAGGAAATGACATTTGGCAGAAAGGTTGGCTTTGTTGCTTTTTCCTTCCTAACTTTTAATACATGCATAAAGGGGGAGGGACTACAAGAAAAATAAGAACTTTTCTTATTACCTCTTCTGTGATAATCAATTTTTGGATTTCTCCCTTAGGCATTACTCGTTTATATACTGGAGCTTTTATCCTAAAATAATATTAAAACAAAGTTACTAAAAATAGTAAGACTATTTGATAATTACATCTTAATGCTTATAAATATAAAGTGCATATACATAAAATCAATAGCATTAGGGAAACAGGTTAAATTATAGTAAGTCAGCTTTGCTTGAACATTAAAAACAAGAAAAGAAACTGTCAAGCTTCCTAACATTTACAATTCCCCCAAAATGCACAGAATACCCTATAGTAATGAGTCTCTCACTTGAGTCCCAGAAAAGACCACAAATCCATTAACAGAGCAACAAGTGTTCAAGCCCCTGGACTTGACAGTGTTTAGGTTTCATTGCAACCACAAGATTCTAAGTTTCTAAGAATAAATAAAGTTCATTGGTGTTGAAAATAGTGCATCCCTGGTTCTATCCAAAGTTACTGAATCAGAGAAGGCAGTGTGAACGTTTGGTGACTGGTACAGAAAGAAGGCATTTCTAGCAACTGATATCACGCAACACCAGGCACTGCTGTTAAGTCAGTTCCTCTACAACCCACTGAGGAGTTTGTTGAAGCTCAGATCCTAGCTCTCTTGTGTTGCAAATGCTACTGGTTTATGGTCCACACTTCTAATTGTAAAGGTTGAAATCACATCCTAACTTTGTATAGACATAAACATTCACAAAGTGTTTGAAAACACACATCCTAGCTGGATGTTGGTGGCACAAGCCTTTAATCCCAGCACTCGGGAAGCAGAGGCAGGTGGATCTCTGTGAGGTGGAGGCCAGCCTGGTCTACAGAGCGAGTGCCCCAGGATAGGCTCCAAAGCTACACAGAAAAATTCTGTCTTGAGAAACCAAAAAAAGAAAAAAAAAAAAAAAAAAAAACACATCCCATCCTAAACAGGAATGGCTGTACATGCATATAATCCCAGCACCTGGAAGGCAGGGATAGAAGAACTACCACAGATCTAAGGTCATCCAGGGATATATAAAAAGGCCACCTTTTTCAATACACACACATAAATACCCATATCCATGAATTAAAAAAAATAAAAATAAAAGATCCTGACCTGGGGTCCTAAAATCCAGTCATCTAATTGTTAAGCATAAAAGCAACTGAACAAACCCCTGAACTGAAAACACTTAACCAAATAACCAATAATCATTTCAAATATCCACATTCATCCAAGCATTTCATAATTTTAGAATGCCCAGAAACCAAAGGCACATTCCCTTTTGCAACTGACCAGATGATATATGTAAGTAAATAAAAACAAAAATAATTAATTCTGATAGCTCTATGTTCGTCTTCTTTATCTTACATATTTACTTATCACCTTTACTGCATGCTTAGTTTGAAACGCCTTAAGAATCTTCATTACACATCAGGAGACTAAAACTGGAGAAGCCACGTTTAACATGCCCAAGACCATACACCCACCATAAGATATTCAAAATCTCCACAAGGGTCTCTACCCCAGGCTCCTTATGACTATTAGGGTAAAGGCAAATAAAGTTCATTGTCACTCTACTTTTCCCTCGTGCTTTAACAGATCTCATGAACTATCCATCACACTGGCATTACTGAGGGAAACCAACAGAACCTTGCTGAAAGACTTTCATGGCATCCCTAAGATCATGTACTCCCAGCTTTAAACTATGTTTCCCAATTTTGAAATGGCTACAATCCACATGACTCTTATCTTCCAATCACCATTTATGCTGACCTAAAGCTGTGTTACCCATATGAAGTTTTTCCTAGAAATTTAAGCCTGATTGCTGATAACAACGGAGAGAAAAGAGGAGTCAACTTCACAATGTGCACAGTTCCTTACCTTTCTTTGAAGACTTGGAGTCCCCGAGCCAGTCCTTCCAGACATAGGAGATCGTATCTGTTGGCAGGCACGTCAACCTTGTAAAGCACAACATCTGAGGCCCCCTCTGCCTTTACATTGCCTTGTTCCTTACTTATGATTTGCTTCTCAGAAGTCTAAACAAGCCAAAGAAGTTTAATAAACTACAAAATATCTTTTCTGCAACAACAACGACAGAAAAATGCTACACATGCCATAAACACAGCAGCCAGAAATCCTGTTTTTCACCCCAGAACACTATAATCCATCTAAAGCAACCAGTGGTCCACCAGCCAAATCATGCACCCCAACTGTTTTTGCAAATAATGTTTTACAGATAAGCACAAGTACATATGTTATTATCTACTGTCATACACTGAGACAACTTAGTTACGGGAGAGACAATATAACTCCAAAGCTATGGTCAGTATCTGCCACTTCACACAAAAAGTTTTGCCATCCAAAGGAAATGGAAGAAATCGTCAAGAACACAGAGGACAACAAAAGTGTCAAAAAGGCACAGATGAGTCACTGCATGAAAGAAACACCACTCTGACAACAACCCTGGCAAGTAGCCCCACAGCACACATGCCTAGAAGGAACACAAGGACGAGAGTAACAGTACAAAGGCAAATCAGACTACCCAGAGAGCAGAGCTGTGCTGAAAATTAGAGGGACAACAGAAGCAATGGAAGCCACAGAGAGCTAGCCAACAGAAGAGCCAAGGAGTCCACCACAGCTTAGAATCTAATACAGCAGCAGAGCTTAGAAGACCTTGGGCATACTATCACAGAGGACAACAGATTTTTTAAAAAGTTCAATTGCACTCCTATTTGTTACATTTATTGTGTACAACAGCAGGGCACTATAAATACATTTAAGAAAATTTCAGTCACAACTCAAAGTTGGAGTCAAGTTAATTTCAAAGTGTTACTGTTACCTTTTATATAGAAATGCTACTTAATGGGAATCCCACCAATGGCCTGCCAAAAGAACAGAGGGGCTCTGCAACATGCCACACTTTTTGCTTTGCATGACACCTTCCTGCCACACACTGACTAATCAAGCCTATCCACAGTAAGAATTATAACCTGCTACCTGGGGAAAGGAAGACCATCAAGATGGACAGACGGGGACAGAGGAGGGCAATGTACAATGACACATATATGAACATGTCACACTGAAACCCATTTATTCATATGCTACTCAAAAATGGGGGGAGGGATAACTACAGTCTGTATTTGCATGGGTGGGGATGGGGGGAACCTCACTTTGGTCACTAAGCACTGCGGGCCTTGTCACCCTTGAGAAAGTCATGGGTCCACAGTGTTGGGACTGTTTAAAGTTGTTTCAGGCTCTAAAACACATCTAACCTGATCCTCAAACTTAAGAGGCAAAATTGAAAATCAGAGAAAATGGTAAGAATGAGGAAAGGAGAAAAAAAGAAGAGGGGAGCCGGGCATTGGTGGCTCACGCCTTTAATCCCAGCACTGGGAAGGCAGAGGCAGGCAGATCTCTGTGAGTTTGAGGCCAGCCTGGTCTCCAGAGCGAGTGCCAGGATAGGCTCCAAAAAGCTACACAGAGAAACCCTGTCTCGAAAAACCAAAAAGAAAAAAGAAAAAAAGAAAAGAAAAAAAAAAGAAAGAAGAGAAGAGAAGAGAAGAGGGGAAAGGAAAGAAGAAGATGGAAAGAGGCCAAGGAAAAAGAATTAAAACTGAAATAATGTTTAATTGAAACAGTAATAAGATTAATATTTTTCAATGAAGAAAGCTTAGATTCTTGCTGAGATGGCAGATAGCAGAAGAGCTCTAAATAAAGAAGTGGAAATAACATGGTAACCAGAGAAATGAAAGTTTCTGAATAAAAAGTAGCCTAAGATTTGCAGGGGGCATCAATGTCATTTTCAGACTCAGTTCATGAAGCCCATATGTGAAGGCTAAGCTTCAAGTACGACCTGACAGAAACCAAAGAGCCATAAATATATTCCAGAGCCAGAAGGCATGATCATATGAAGCAAATCATCTGTTTCTCAAAAATGAGGCCTGGCAAGACAAATTGTGAGATCAAAAAGGCAAGTAATCCTCCTGAAAACAGTACAAAAATGCCAAACTGCTAGAGTCTAACCCATAAGTTAATAACACAGCAAACTCTTAAAATAAATAAATAAATAAAAGAGGTGGGGGGTCATACAAAGCAAATGGTTATCCAATATCAAATGACCAGCCCTGAAATCATATACATACAAGAAACACTACATAGAGTGAGGTTATATTTGTGTATGTGGAAATAAGTGTATGTGTATGCGTATACATACATATGTAAGAACAATTAAAGAAAAAAGAAGCCATGTATTTAAAAGAGACAAAGGATGGATACATGGAAGGGTTTAGAGGGAGGAAGGGAAGGGAGAAATAATATAATTGTATTATAATCTCAAAAATGAAAATTACTTTAAATAAAGGTTTTTTAAGGGATAAAATTTGCAACACAAATTCATCAAACAAACAAACAAAAAACCTCAGGGTTTATTTAACAGTAATAAGAAAACATTTTTTTAAATGTGCTTATAGACAGAATATCTTTAAAACAAAAAAAAATTGATACATACAATTTCATCAAGTTCCAAACCAAATTCAAAACATAGCTCGTCAAATTCTTCATCAGCTAGGAGAGAAAAAAAAAAGAATGTTAATTTTAATGTGTTCAGTACAAATGAAAACTATTGAACCTTACCTACTGCTTAATTTCCTAAGCCTGGACATTCTATCAGGCATCAAATATCACTATTTTGTCTTTGGTTGTTTTGGCTTTTGGAGGGCTTTTCTGTATAGCCTTGGCTGTCCTGCAACTTGCTCCATAGACCATGCTAGCCTCCATCTCACAAAGATCCACCTGTCTCTGCCTCCCAAGTGCCAGGATTAAAGGCATGTACCACCACTGCCCAACTTACCAGTTTTTGTTTGTTTGTTTGTTTGTTTGTTTGTTTTCTAAAGCTCAGAACCATGTGTAATAGCCTGAAATATAGCAGGTCTATAAACGGACAAAGTTCTCTGATGTGCTTTGCTTTGCTACCGAATACAGCATCTCCAGGGGTTTCATATTATGGAACACTGAACACAAACCATCAAAGCCATCACGTTAGTGAAAAGCTAGACAGATGTTTTAAGTTCTAAGGTAAAAGATGGGACTTAGTATGTCAAAGGCTCTGAGCCTACTCTCTAGTATCAAAGTATCTAGTAACAAGGAAAGATTTGCCTGATGCAAACATCAACCAACAATTAAAGGGCTAATTACTCTAGACTAATATCAACTATAGAATTTGGTTACCAGTGCCAAGATGTCTGTTCAGACTCAGAAAAAGAATCATTAAGTAGTATCAAATGAGAAAGCAGGCTCAAAATCATAGGACTTATATATATATAAAGGAATGCCACTAAACCTTGGTATTTACATAAGATTCTTTCAGGCAGCCTGATATTTGTTTTCAGAACCACACTAATCAGGGTTTTGACTTCTACCTTACTCATACTGAGGGCTCAACACCTATGTAAACTTTACCAACAACCTCATCTGTAAAAAAAAAACCCACCTTTTGCCCCCATTTTTAGCATGGAACCTTAAAAGGATATAAATGGACCTGGCATAGCACCCCTGAAACACAGTGAGTTACAGCATTTTCATGGTCTTCACTTATCAAACATTGAATACACACCACAATTACCACTATATTCTAGTGAAGAACTAGATGTCTTAGGTTTCCTGAACCAGGACTAGGAGTTGGCCTCGGTGGCAGAATGCATGCTTAGTATGTCACAGGCCCTAGGTTCAGTTCCCAACATCAAAATAAAACAACAACAAAAGACTTGTCTGATCTAGACATCAAACTTCAATTCAATTTAGCAAATATTTACTGCCATTATGTGCCAAGCAACAGTACTAGATGCCAGGGTTACAAAGATAAATAAATTACAATTCTTGCCTGAACTACTTCCTTCTCTAGCAAAGGAATCATAAGTGTAAATAAATATTATAAGTAAATATACCCAGTACAAGGTGTAGGGTGGCACAGAGTTCCTCTTAGGTTCACTTATAGCTACATAAAGAATGTCTTCATTAGCTAAAGATTGGAGGGAGTGAATCAAGTGCTTGGCAAAGCTGGGAACTCCTAAGTAGTTCAATATGGTGAAGAATAAAGTTTGTGTTAGGAAGAAACAGGATACAAGTAGAAAAAGGGTAGCTCATGACATGCCAAGGGACCTGCCCTCTGTCCTACCCGCAGGCAATGGGAGTTGCACTCAGGAGCTTTTCAGCTAGGCAAAACAGGATTAGATTTGTTTTTTGCTTTATTCCTTTTTCATCCTTAGCTCTAGATCTTTGGTATTTTTTAAAACAAGGCCTTATATGTAGACCAGGCCAGCCTGCAACTTATATATATTCCAGGGCTGGTCTCTGACTCCATCCAGATCCTCCTGCCTCAGACTCCCATGTGTTTCTATCATAGGCACCAAGCTTGGTTCCCTACATCGGCACTTTTTAAGACTGGAGGCAGGGTGGAGGATGACTGAGGAGAGCCTCCTACAAGTGAAACACAGAGGTATACACTTAAGCCAACAGCATATGGGAAAGAAGGAACATGAGAAATGTTAGAAGCCTTACAAGGCTCAATGGCTGGCTA